CTGACTTAAGTTTTCTGTCTGTCAAATACTGACAGATAAACGCTGATGTAAAACATGCCTGAGCTCTGTCACAATAGACAGCGGGTGTAGCACAGAGGAGAAGCACGTTCCCGGTGGAAGGCAGCGAGGATGCCACCTCTCCTGCGCTGTAGCTTGGAGCCCCCAGGCAATAAACTGTATTTAAGAGAATCTCCTCTCCTATAGCACTACCTGCAGTAGCAAGCAATGCGTTTATCCCATTTTGTAAAAACCTTTAAAAATAGTGATCCTGGCCCCGAAGCTGTAGTAGGCAAACGGGGGCAATGAGATGAATGAGAAACGGGGACAAACTCTCCGCCGGGGCAAAGCGTAGCCGAGGAGGCGCGGTCCGCGGCTGGGACACACGACAGAGGATTTCGGTAGGATTTGGTAATTTGCTGATAAAAGAAACCTTGGGTCTGGGAACAGGGAACGTCCCACAGCGCCTTTACCTGCGGACGGAACCGCAGCGCCCGCCGACAGCGCGCCGGCCACCGCCCGGCGCGGGCGGACCCGCTCAGCGGGCAATGGCACCACAGGGATCGATCGGCACGGGCGGATCGGCTCCGCGGGGATCGATCCGCTCCATGGGGATCGGCACGGGCGGATCGGCTCCGCGGGGATCGATCCGCTCCATGGGGATCGATGGGCTCCGTGGGGATCGGCACGGGCGGATCGGCTCCGCGGGGATGGATCGGCTCCGCGCGCGCCAGCCTCCCCTCGCGTGCCCAACGGCCGCTCCGGCGCTGCGGGGCCGTCGCCGCCCCCCGTGGCTGGCGCCGGTCCCGGCAGGGCGGGGCGAGGCGCGGCCCGCGCGCCGGAAGTGAGCGGCGGGGGGAGCCCGGAGCGGCGGCGGTGCTGGGGTGGCAGCGGCGTGTGGGGTGCGCCGTCTCCGCTGCTGGGCAGGGACGCGCCTTGGCCGCCGGGCGGAGGCGGTTCCGCGCTCGGCGGAAACAAGGAACGGGAAAGGAAGGGAGCGGCGAAAGGAACCGGTATCAGCGGCCACCATTAGTGGCGGCAGGAGGAGCAGCAGCAGCAGCCGCTGCCGAGGGGGTCTGCGGGCGGAGCAGACCGGGTGCCGCCGCCGGCAGCGAGCGGCAGCGAACCCGGCGCCGCGCCCCTCTGTTCTGCGGGGTGTCGCCGCTGCCCGCCGGGGCTCCCCCGGAGCCGGGGCGAGGTGAGTGGCGGAGCCGCCTTCGTGTCGCTCATTTCTGGGGGGCGGTGGTGGCAGAGCCGGCGGGCGGCGTTTCCTGCCGCGTCCCCTCGGCCCCCGAGCCACCGCCGGGGCTGGGCGGGAGCACCGGAGCGAAGGGCTGCGGGAGGGGCGCGCATTTACCGGCCCGCGCTTGTGCCCTGCGCCCCTCCACGCCCCGGACACCATCGGGTGGTTTTTTTCTGGAAAAGCTCTCGCGACTGGTGGAGGCTTCTTGTATGTGTGTGCCCCCCGGGTTTTCCCCGAATGAGGCATGCCTCGGAAGGGGCTGGGAAGTCAGCCGGGGATGCGCAGGGATGTAGTGTGTGGCATGCAGACAATGTCAGCTTGGGTGAGTCTCCACCCTGTGCAGCCGCAGGCAGTCGGGTCCCCGGCGCAGGCATCGCCGAGGCGCGCGCTGCCACCCGCGGAACAAAACGCGCAAATGCTCGTTCCTGGTGCAAGAAGGAATCGTGGGTTAAAAACCAAACACCAAACCTGAAATCTGTTAAGCTTTTTAGCCGTACGACTTACTGAAGGCACACTGGTTTGCGAAGAGCCTCCCAAGCAGGCTTTATGCCTGCCTTGGTTTTCATGAAACTGGGAAAGTGGTATATTATTTTTTCTACGTGGGGAAGATTATTGATGGTGGGAGAGAAAGGAGGAGTGTCTGTATACACGAGTGTCACATGACCTTGTAAAATTCATATGGCTATACTTATTTTTCTCCTGCACTCATACTGGTTGTCTTAAGAAGCCAATGACTTACCTGTTCGTTTTGGAAGATTTTATTTCTTTTGGATTTGTTACCTTGTGGGGCAGAAAACAATCACCTGCGTGTTTGAACACTGTCTCTGCATTTTATCATTTTTACTAGTATTTCTATTTTTACTGGGCTTATAGGTGTTTAGAAGGGGATGAACAGCAGTCTCTGTAATACAATTTATTTTTTACTGGTAGATTACAGGTACACTCCATTTGGCAAATGTAAATTATTTCATATGACTAATATCTTTACATTACCATTCATGTGGTGGATGAATGTTTTGTGAGACTGTAGAATCACACCCACTCCATTTTGAACGAATTGCCTCTTTTTGTCTGTTCCACCTAGTGCCCTCCAGACATGGATACATTAGCTTGTTAAACACCTTAGAGCAGAAGAATTAATTTATTAATTCTGGGTGTTTATTGAAACAATATGTCTAGAACAACAAGTCTTCCAATTTTATTGTCTTTAATCAGCTTTTGTCTGCTGAGAAGTTTCCTATTAAAATAGAAGAATGGGAAAATTACTTGATAAATCATCCTGAAGAATGAAAGTGTAGGTCATAATCTAGGGAATACTTTCCACATAAGTTCTATAAAGATCTAGGTATATCCATATTTAATACACTGATATCATTCTTGGGTGGGTGTGGTGGGAGTGGAACACACCACTGTTTTTCTGCACCTAAGTTGGTATGTGATTTTTCATACCACTGGGTGATACTCAAATTGCCATCCAGAAATCCATGTTACAGGAGCTTTTTGGTTTCATACAACAGAAAGGTAAGTGGCACTAAGGAATTTATTTATTTTTTGTCTTTGTACAATTTTCATTTTCAGATAGATATTTCCTTAAAATGGCCTCATTTTTATGCTCAAATGATATGCAATGAAGCATCCTTCTACCGCTGCTTCTCTGACTCAGCATGTGACAATGAGAAAAGTATTAGTAAGGGATAAACCACAGCTAAGGAAAGCAATAGTCTGTTAATTTCTTGAAAGAGTATAAAAAATAATGTGAAAGAGAATACTGACAAATTTTATATAATCTTCAATCTGCCTTTCTTGCATAGTATCTTGAAAATATTGCCTTAACGTTTGAATTTAAAGTAGTTTTTTTACAGTGGAGTACTGTATTGTCATAAACTGTGTTCAGCTCCCTGTGTGTTGAAGCTTGTTCCTTTATTATTAAAGTCAGCCTGGGTACAGAGAACACCTGTTGGTTTAAAGTATTGTGTGAAACTGCTGCAATGCCCTTCGTAGGTAAAGGTTCACTGGGGTTGGTTTTAAGAGGCTTTGTTTTTCACAAGGATGTCTGCGTTCTGGCTCTCAGAATATATGGGTATTGCCTTGTTTCCCCCAAACCACTAGTCTTTAGTGGTTGTTTCTTTATTTGAATTTGGTCCTTTGTCTATTGCTTCAGCATTAAGGTTTTCGATAGAATCAACTGGCTTTTCTAGCTAGAAATAGTTACTTCTTGTGCTTTAAATTGTAGATCTTTATCCTGTGTTAGTCTCATCTTTACTGTTGATACTTGCCTTCCTTCTTCAAACTTTTTTCATCCACTGGAGGGGGAAGTAAAAACCTATCAAACTGGGACAGGGTTAAATCTGAGTGGCTAAGCCAGTTAGGTAAATACTAGGAAGAATAGTACTGAAGATCTCAGCCATTAAGTATTTTACATTACCTTCTTAATAGAAGAAGAATCCAAATCACTTGTGTTACAACTGAAGCCAAAGATTGCAAAATAATCACACTCTGCCTTTTCTGTTTTGTTAAACAATAGTTTTATTATGGAATTTCCAAGTACAACTGAAATAATGTACTTCACAACTTCCCATTAACATCTGTTCATACTGAGGATCCTGCTGATTAAATCTAGAACTTGTTACAAACCCTTACCAAAGCCAGAAATGTCCAATTTTTGTTTCTGGCCTCAACAATAAGCCATTCTGTCACGTTTCACACTCTTTCACTGCAATTGCTAGAAGAAAATGTGTTGATTTACAGCTGAATCAGGCAATGTCAGATAAACAAACCTCATAAAAAGGTGCGATCCAGATCTGTTTTATTGCTAAGGGTTAGAAATACATTGGAATGACAGCAGACTGCTGGGTAGTCAGGTTTAATCCATTTCTATGTGGAGCGTTAATTTTGTTTCAGAAAACGTAAATTAAGAAAGAAAAGTTGACATATTGAGTAAGTCCTCTTAAGAATTCAAAAAATATCTTTGATAATTGGCAGTCACAGATTTTGAGTGAGTACACACATGGAATGCTTTCTACCTTTAGGAATGTCTACAAGGTTAGGTAATGCCAGTAAAGAAATTTGCACTATAATTGCCCTTTATAGTTGTTCTTCAGATTAGCAAGGGATTTAAGTTTCTCATGTTAATCTGCAAGTGTTACCATCACTTTTAAAAAGTGTCCATTGAAAATGGCATATTAGTTTTTATATGTTAATACTAGAAATTAGTAATAACTACCCAATTAAACAAATGGGTCCCTGTGAGAAAGAACTGAAATTCAATAATGATAAAGGTTGCTTATAATCCTTCATATAAGAAATTTGTATAAAGACTAAGAACAGTGTCTTCAGAATATTTTTATGCAATTTGATCGAGATATATTGACTGATACTGTCTGACATTTTAATGAATTAAAGTCACTTTTCTGTTTTGTTCCAAGTAGGAGTTTTAGTTATTTGTTATGTCCAGCTTTAGCGGAAGTGTTTCATGTAAGATGTGAAATAGTTTGTTGGACTTGTTTTTTAAAACCCATCTGTTAGTGAAGAGCTGTTGAAATGTCCTGGTCTGTGAGCTATCACTGTACTTGTATTGTAGAGAGGAAGATGACGTACATGAGAATTTGAAACTGTCCTGATGTTAAATATTAGGAAAATAATTTGTTGCCATCTTATATCATAATGAGTTGGTTGGATTTTAGGGGGCGTGGGGGAAGGGAGGCCTGGAGGTGGGGAAAGAAATTCCAGGGAGGATATAATAATAGTCAGAGAACATAATTTTTACCTGATACTGAATTTCTAGTCTCAAAAATTCATCAAAATAATTTAAACAAATGTTTAAAAGGCGACTGAATCTTCATTGCCTCTGGTCTTTTCAAGATAGCAGTATGTAAGGTGAAATTTCTTGTACAAAAATATTGTAGGGAGTCGGATGAGGGAATTACTATCCACAGTAGTAAAACTGTTATATTTGCTTAAGTAAATACTACAGTGTTCAAGAACTCAGGTTGCTGGTAAAAATGCACTGATCTTGCATAGCATAAATGGTAAGCTGAATATAGATTATTCTCATCTTCTGTGAAAATTAACTGAATTATCATCCCTTATTGCAACATTAACATTGTGTTGTTCTAATTATTGTATTTGACATCTGCTGAAATGGTCATGTATGGTGTGAGGGTGTCAGTACTCTGTCAAGTGTTTAGAATGCCAAGTTGTGTTCATAGACAAACACCTTACTGTTTCTTAGTTTATTGCAACAGAATAGCTGATTTCTAGCAGACCAGGATTAGAAAGAAACAGGAGCAATAAGTGACATCACTCACTCTCCAGTTTTGTGGCTGCTACGTTTTATTACTTGTGTCAGTATTCTACTTTCATGTAAAAAACTCTTGGAGAAGTTAAATGTAGAACTTGATCATTTTTCTCAAATCTGAAGTGGAAAAATATGCTGTCTAAAACACACATACAGAAAGGGGCTGGAGGGAAGCTCATTGGTGTCCTTCATCTTCTGTGATAACTTCACCCTTCAGAAAGTTTTGGGAGCAGTTGTAGGGGACCTGTTCATATGACAGTGAGAGCTGAAGTCCACTGCCTACTGCTAGCATAGGGTTCTTTGCTGCTGCCATACTGTGATTGTCTCATTGTCCTTCCCTTTTCCCAGAGATGTAGCAGTTTGCTGAGTTGGTAGGACCTGTGGTATTCCTGGTCTTTTTGTCCTGGTTAAAGTAAATTAAAAGAAAGTGGAACTGTGCTGTGCTTACAGTCAAGATGTGCAGTAAGTTACTTCTTGTAGTTGCTTTCATTGTTGCCTTCTTGGCTCTTCCAGTAGGAAGGAACAGTTTGCTCCCCAAAGAAAAGCTCCAAGTAGAGCTCATTGCTTCATACATGTGTAGATTTCATCTTGATGCAAATTCTGTCATGTTTGCACATTTCTGCCATCTGTAGCACAGAAAAGGTAGTTTAGTTGTTTGAACTTGTTTATAGATGCCTGGTAAAATTGGTCCCCCCAAACTAAAATTGTTGTTGAGCTAGTAGTGTCTGCTTCTGCTGTTGAACAGTTGTGTGTCAGTGACTTGTGAAAAATTCTGCTGGTTCTTTGAGGAAGTACCATAAACTCATCAGGGATTACTTTGTGCAAACGTATAGTTCATTTTCTGAAATCCAGTTGGTCATGATAAAAGCAAAAATGTTTTCAGAAGTGTCCAAAAGACTTAATTGTGAATCTTACTTAAATTGTAATTGGCAAATTTGCATTATCTGCTTGTTAAATTGTATTTTAAAGGTTGTATCATTGAATAGTGTTAGAAGTGCAAATAATGAGTATGTTTCAAGTCCCGTCTTAAGTGGTTGAATTTTTACTCTGATATCACCTTTTCAGTTAAATCCTTTCAATATATGTAATGAAGTTGCTTGCGAAGTAACAGTAAGTTACTGCATAATGTTAAAAATGCTAACTTTACAGCATAGAATTAATACTGTGACTTTTTTGTGTATGTAGAATTTTATTCTTCTTGCAGTTTAGACATGCTAAGACAGTTTTGCCCAACTGTATTGTTTCAATTAGTGATGAAAAAAGTGCTTTTTTGTTGTCTGTGGATTTCTTTTAAATAGTTCCATTGATTATGATGGTAAAATATTCTGTCTAAAATGCTGGTTTGATTGGTTTAACCACTGGGAAAATACGTTGAAACTATGTATGACAGATTTTTCTCTCTGTCAAAGGTCCTGTAGATTTGGAGAGGAACTCTTACGTTTAACTGTGAAGTCGCTGAATTGATCCTTGTGGTACACCAGTATTGAAAAGATGTGATGTCACTACAGGCTTGGAGTTGCTGTAGAAGATAGCAGTAGCAGAACAAATGTGCAAGTTCTTTGAAAGAAGTGAAGTTCCCCATGTGTTGTTTATATTCTTGTTCCAGTCATTAATCTCTGTACAGATGCATTTGCTAAGCCTGGAACAGTCCCTGTTTGCATCTCTGACAGTTCTGACCCAGTCTCAAGAACTGTATGTTTCACTCAGTGGGCTTTTTTTTTCTTCCTTGTAGGTCCTTTAAAGAGATGGTATTATTGAGAGCAGAAGAGAAGCAGTGGATCCTAGAGAACCTTTTTCCCCCTTATACTTTTCTTGACAGAATTATCCTTAGGTAGCTTTAGAGACCACTAAAGTATTGTGCATTAAAAAATACTCATAAAAAACCCAGAGATGGGCAATATTAAATCCATGTAAATTCTGTGATGCAGTTAACAGTATAATCCACAGTGTGCCAAAATGATAAAATTGAAGAGGTGATGTGTTGAGAGCTGCTGAAAGAAGAGAAGCTGAATCCTTCTATCCATCTTCCTGGACCACGATTATATACTGTTTTGCAGAATTCAAGGTTCTTTTACTTCTGGGATGTAAAGACATTTTAAAAAATAAGGACAAACTCCTTTCCGGGTTATTCTTTCCATCTTACTGGTATGAAAAGGCATCTGTCCTGGCTTTCAGAATTTGTTGTAGGAAGTACTTAGCCCTCTGGTTTTGTAAGTAATTTAATTTTCATATCTAGATGCCTAATGTTATCTGTACTTATTTAGACAAACTGCTTTACAAAACTGGGTTGGGTTCTAACTCAGTATTGAAAAGAGTAAGTTTTCATCTTTCAAACATCTTAGGAACAAGACTGATTTTTGCAGCCTAATGATGATCTTCCAGAGGTGAAATTGGCGTGGGAAGCTTATTAGCTTTGCAGAAATACTTTGCTTGCATACTAATTGCCTTATTTTTAATCCCATGGGATTTTTTTCTACTTTTGTCTGAGCTCATTGCTTGTTACTGTTTTACATTTAGAACAAGAAGTATTGAATTAGGTAAAAAGAAGTACTCTAACAAATGTGAAACCATTTCATTATGACTATGACAGTGTTCCCTCAGGTTTTCTCATATTGTTATCAGAGAGTACTTGAAGATAAGATCTGAAGATCTTAAATTGTGTTAACTCTGAGACACTGTGTCTACAGGAGCAAGACACCCTATGTAAAATAAATGCAATATCTACTCTAAATTCCTACAGAAGCAATGGCAGCATTCACTGCCCAGGGAGATTTCTCACATTTGTTCTGTTGGAGGTACAATATTTATGGATTCTGTCTGGACTTAAAGCCTCAGTCTTTGGTATTGCACTGTTGGCTGCTCCTCAGCAGTTTCTTGCTCTTGTATGGTTGTTCTTGATTTCATCCTGGTTCATGTCTGTATAGTGATGAGGCATCTTGCATAGGATTTTTGATTCTATGCCAGAAGCCAAGCATTCCAAGCTGTCTTTATTTATAGAATCATAGAATCGTTTAGGTTGGAAAAGATCTTTAAGATCGAGTCCAACCATTAACTTAGTACTGCCAAGTCCACTGCTAAACCATGCTTGATTTGATTTTGTATATGTAAAGGTCACTGGAGACTAGATGTAAGAAAAACATGCACAAAATCCCCAAACATGCTAAGCACCTACTTATCCTTACCTTACTAATTTTGCTTCTTGCTCTGCTCCTTGTTAGAAGGATCACTGTGAACTCATTTCACCACTTAAAATCGAGTTAATCATTGTTAGAATTTGTTTTAATACACCAATGCAAGTTTGGACTTTCAAGGTGTCAGTAATCATTCCTCTTTACAGATGACTAAAGACTTAGCACAAATGTGGTTTATAGTGCATTTTCAAAATACTTCCCATCATGAAAAATCTCATTAGGTTGTTCTAAACCTTTAAATAAAAATACCATACAAATCTCTGTTTTGAAGGAAGTTGTCACTTAGATCTTTATTGCATGACTCAGGAGCATGACCTTTTAGTTGAACAGGCAGGTCTGAATGGCTTTGACAGAAACATGGGTAGTTGCATCCTGTTCCTGGAAAAGCATTCTGCAAGTTGTGTGTATCTGCACATTTCTGGTACTTTGGAGTTGAGTCAACTGTAGTTGTGTCTTCTAATAGATAGTTCTTCTATCTATTAAATGGGGGCATTTTATTTAGGGGTGGAGGAAGGAAGTCAGTAGTTTTCAGTCACTAGTAACCTTGCAGAGCAATAATACTGGCTGAAACTTAATCAGTCTCTGAGCATGTCACAGGTCAGAATAGTTCTACTGAACCTGGGTAGAGAGAAGATCACTTTTTCTTTCACCTCTACTCTGTTGTGTCTATTAATAAGTAACTTAGTGATATGATCAGTTCTGTGGAACTGAAAGGCTGTTTCTCAGATTGATGTGAGTGCCACAAATAAATTCCTGCCCAGGGTAGAAGGAAAGAATTATTTTCATTAAGATCTGTTCAGTTGTTCTGGATTAGAGACCTCTGAGATACTTGCTAAGAAGCACAGCAAAAGTGAGAAGTCTCATTTTCAACAATTACATAGAAGGAGAAGGGTCCCATAGAAAAGAAGGAGTGTTTTTTATTTCTGGCAGCTTGCAGAGCTGAAAATGGGAACAGAGACATGAGTGAAATTTTCAAGAGGAACCACATATCCACATGACAGTTGTTAAAGTGGAACATACAGTATCTTTATGAAGAATGCTCTGTTAACTTCTACTTCTATCCAGTTGATAGTGCAGCATTCAGCTTAACCTTCTGTGCTTCCTGTCCCAGCTAGTGAAAATCAGAGATGTTCTAGTTAAAAAAGAAAGTAAACCCCCAAAAGCACCATGTAATTAGCTTGATTGAAACTTTCTGTTTTGATAATATTTATGTCTATTCAGCTCCAGTGCATGCAAAAACTTCAGAAAAACCAACAAGTTAAAAAAAAAAGAAAAAAGCCCTTGGCATAAGTTATTACTGCTGTATAATGGATCTTAAATTATCTTTTATCAACCGGAATGGAATATTTCTGGAATGACTGGCGTGTGTTCTGAAGTTGAAAGTCCAGCACAGAGTAAACAAAGTATTTTCAGACTATGCACTTTCAACGTCAGTGGTGTTTCATTTTTGAACTGTGATGATTTAGGTGCCTCTCTTTTTGCCAAGAGGTGTCGATCTTCATTCTCCTGAAGGATCAGATAGTTAATATATTTACAGGTATCATGTAGGGAGTTAGCTTGGATAGATTGTGAGGCCTGAAAGCTTAGGGAGTGATTTTATGTGTTTATTATTTTTCTAGATAATTTAAAAGTATGTTGGCTTTGCGTGGCCTTTAGATTTAAAATACACATAGTGTAGGAAAAAACATTCACTTGATGCATATTACTTTGATTTAATGTACATGCTGTCTTGCTCTCCTTGTCATGGGAAGAATTTAAATTGAACCTGTTGTTGCTTGCTTTATGGCCTAAAGACTGATCTGAGTGCACTACATAAAGCAAGTTATGGTATTATCTTTCACTTTTTAAATTATTCCTCATTATTTAGTACTTCTGATGATTAATGTTTTCCAGTAATTCTTGTGAAATGTATACTTTCTAATTTTGAAGATGGCAATGCAAATTTTGTCCTTTATAATGTGACCATGGGCCAACTTCATGTCTTTTTACACTTTAGTGTAAAAGATTCATTAACCAATAATAAAATAGGACTGTATTTACAAAACAGGAGAATGTGCTTTAAAGCAATGTCTTCCTAACACTTCATCTAGTTTCTTTGTTTTGTCTAGGTTAATGTAACCCTTTCTGAGCTTGAATTCCACCTGTGTTATTTTTCTAATCCTGAAGGTGCATGGTCTTCCTTTTGTTTAGAATGTATATCACCTGAAACTAGAAGACCAGAATTTATGTATGTATGTATGTATTTATTTATTTATTTATTTTGCTCATTATTAACTTTCTGAGGTGAGGTTCATCTGGCATGCTCTTTAATATAACTCTTGACAAAATGTGAGCATTTGAGAACAATGCAATCGTATTTGTTTCTATACACATGATCTGATGAAACATAATAAAATGCTACAAGATATTAATGTGTCTTGTGTAGGACATTATTCTAGTTAAAGCTGCCTAAATTTGTTTTCTATTTTAGAGTGAGTTGAAAAGCAAGATAAAAGATCAGTTGTTCTCTTATGAAAGTGTAAAAATTGCAGCTGGCCTTATGTTGTCTGCATTCTTTTTGCCTTCCAGTGTGGATTTAAGTATTAGAGTTTACAACTGCACAAGGCTTCACTATATTATGAAGTACCCATAAGAGTTGAGAGGGCATAGCCTCCTGATAGATTCAGCAGCTGCTGCTTCATTCCTAAAATGACTTCTGCTGGATTGCAATGAACTGTTGGAATTTTAGCATGATTCAGGTACTATTACTGACAGGAATATTGAACTAACATATATTCAAAAGTAGGGCTTTTCCTATTTTTGCAGTATGACTAAATAATTAATATCTGGATACTGTGCATCATAAATCATTACCTTTTATTATGTCTGTTTATTCCAAGTCACTCATAGTGAAGTAACAAATTTTTTGGAGTATAGTAATAGCCATTGTTTGAAATGGTGGTAAGTAGTATATGAAGTTTTTTCGGTTTTTTTTAGTAGAATTTGGAATACGTAACTATTATGGAATATATAACTATATGGTTAACTATTTAAAATATTATATTATATTATGAGATCACTTTTTGAAAAGGAAACTGAAAATTTTGCCTGACATAACTCATTGTGGAGAGATGTAATACTATGACGTATACTATGACAACTATAATAGTTGTCTATTAAACTGAAGAACACAGCTCTGTGAGGTAATTGAAGGTCCAGTAAAAGACACTCTTAGTTTACATAATATTTCTGCCATAATTTCTGAAGTTCTGCTTGCATCCTTAATGTGATGGGTAACATTTCCCTGGGGAGGGTAGCAGCAGTCTGATTCTGTGTGCATCAAGAATCGTCTGTGTAGCTACATGGAACTAGTTTGAATGTATGGTTTGAGGCTTATATTTCAACTGTAGCAAATAGTGATGATCTTTCTGTCAGTAGGTGTGCATGCAGGAGCCTGGTATTTAATGGCATACAGATAGACAGCTATGTAGTTTTCATATTTTTATTGCCACTGTATTGCCAATATATTTTATAGATTGTATTTAGAAAATATGTTTATAACTAACTTTGATCTCTTACATTTCAGAGATGATCAAAATAAGCACTGAAATAATATCCATGACTTTGCATTTTTTAAAATATCAATTTGTGCCCTTTCTGTATAGCTGAGTTTTTATAGTGTCTACAGGAACATGACATTATTTTAAAATAGGAACTTAGGTCTGCCACAGAGGAAGCATTCTATTATGGATTAAATGCTGTCCTTGTCATCTTTGAAACACACTTTTTCTGCTCTCTTGTTACATTCATCATTTTTTTCTTCATACAGTCTTCCAGTTCTTTAGTGGAGTTGCAAACAACAAGCTTTGAAAATTGTCTGTGTAGCTCTCTTGTCCTCTTTTTGGGAATTCATCTTGGAATGTTTACTTCTGAAATGCATCTGATTTGAAATTGGATAGGTAATAAAATACTTTTTTTCTGTGCTTAGTTCCTTCCTGCACTCAGGTTTATGTTTGTATGCATGCTCTTAGATGTTCTTGGCTAGAACTGTCCCACAGGACATATTCTGTCCATAACAACTGGGCAGGATATTGTTCTTGGTATTCCCCATCTCAAAACACATGGTGGGAGGTTGGATAGTATTTATGAGCTGTGTTAGTCCTGTGCTTTGTGCGTGTTCTCCTTAGCTGGGATAAGTTCTTAGATGATGCAGAGGAACTGGGGGGAGAGGCTGAGAACTTGGAGTCTGTGACTTGATTGAATTTTTTAAAATAGGGGTTTTTAACTGTTAGGAAGAATAGAGCTAGAAAGAGGTGCTGTTAGAATTGACCTTATTGCTTACCACAAAGGCTGTGAATTAATACCACAGATGCATTTCTCTTTTACTTGTTTTCTTCTGAGACAAGGTTGTGACATTAGATGACAAGTTGAGACAAGGAACAAACAAGATCTTATGATGCATCCCATTTGGTTTTTACAGGTATTGCTTCTTGAGTAATGTTGTGGGGCACACTCTGGCTTGTGTTTGAGCTGTTTCATTTCCAGAGCTCTTAAGTGGTTGCACTGAACAGAAAGAGACAGTGCTGTCAGTCAGGCATGGATTCCTGGTAGGCATTCTCAGTGCTATTGCCATGGGACCACAGCCAGGCAGTTCCCTTGTAAGCATGAAGGTCCATATTGGCTCTGACAGAGCCAATGGTACTTACAGCATACTAGCACCTCACTGGTGAGTCATTTGCTGCTGATTGTTCTAGCTACTGTCCATTAAATAATGAGTTTTGGCTAGTTGCTTGACTAAAATTGACATGTTCATGTTTGTTCATGGCCAGGTTTTCAAAGAGTGGTTATTGCACTAACTTTTAACTGGTCACAGTTATGGCAGGCTTTTACTATACTGCTGTGTAATCAGACAGTATCAGAATGTGAGGTTAAGATTCTAGAATTCTGTTGAACGGTAAAAGGACAGCAAAACAACATGATCCATATCTTTGGCTTTCTCTAAGTTTAGTAAAATAGAATTGTTTTTAAAACTTCCTTCAATTTATGGGGAAATTGCCCAGGTAATTGCTTCCTTATCTATTCTATTTCTATGTATTATCCTTCAAAGTATGCTGCAAGATTTCTGTTAAATGCAAAGGAACATTTTCAGTTGAGTGTCTAATCCAGCTGTATGAAAACAGTTGTTTCAGCTTCACAATAAAATCTACCTTGTGTATAAATAGTTTAGAACTATGTCTTAAAGACTTTAGTGGGACTTAAGTATCTGAGGAGTCTAGGAATGGAATATGTTGGTAATACTGTGTGCCTCTTAACTAGTGCTGTTTATGAGCAAGTGTGCAAAAAGTATATTCGTGTAAATAAAAGGGCTTTTTCTTTTCTGACTTTCTGAATTTCTTAATACATTTGCAGCTAGAAAATTATAGCAGTGAGTACTGGGAATGCATTCTTGTCCATGCTACCAGCAGTATTTAGCATTGCAACAACAACAGTATCTGGAAATCATTCCCAACTTTCTTCCATGGATCTTTGGGAATGTTCTTTTTCCTACAGAAAGTGGACTTATTTACTTTCTTGTACTTGCAAAGGGGTGGAGAGTCTCATGATTGGGGGGTTTTGGTGTTTGTGGCCTCTTGGCTTTTTAAAGACAAAGCTGTTGAGGTCTTCCTTCCAGTCTTCGACTTGTAAAATTATTATTTAAGTGGTATCTTCTGTCTTTTGTATGTGTGTAACGTTGTCCAGTCCCAAGTACACTAACCTTTCTTGACTTCTTAACACTTTCTTCTTTCTGCTATCACTCCCTTCTGCAAAAAAATATCTTACTTCCTCAAGATGAAGCAGAAGATATATTTAGAGAAACTTGGACATTCTGACTTTTCATATACAAGTTGCTTGGGTTGTCTGCTGTGCCCTACAAATAGTTGAGTTTTAACCTTTTTCTTACGCAGGGAAGGAGACGTCTTCCTGCTTTGTTCAGTACTTGATGATGAGATGGGAGTGGTGTTGTATTTATACTTATAGGAGCTTTGCATCAAGAAATCTCCTGTACCATAATGAAGAGATTGGAATTAGTCACTTTTTAAACTGTTTTATTAGTATCTTTCATCTTATTTTTATACAGCATGAGCTGTGAACTGAACTTCCAGATGATTTATGTGTTATTCATAACATTGTTAGCTATTTTTTGTTTAGTTGTTTTCTTTATTTGTACTCTGAAGTTATTTTGGATACAGCATCTGAAATATTTTGCATAGTAGTGTCAAAAAGCTTAGGGTTTTTTTCCTAAGAAAAACTCACCTTTTCCTTTGTACTTCATTAAATGTTTGGGTTGTCCTTGATCTGATTTTAAGTCTGATTTTTGTCTCATCCCAGCCTGCAAAATCAATTTGGCAATTAACTTCCTGATCATCCATTCTGTACAAGTGTATATAGAAGCTACATGCACTCTGACTGTTGAGCCTAGATACCTAACTCAGAGAGTGTGGATGTTTTTATGTTTTTATAAAATGGCTTGTGAGCATGTCACATGTTTAAAAAAAACTGTTGCTTTGACTTATGTCAAATCTTTTCAGCTGCTGAGTCACAAATAACTTAATTCAGTCTCTTGTTTCCTAATGCACTTATGTGCTATGAAAATTCAAATGTCTTGTCTTTTGCTGGGTGGACTCTCTTATGGTCATTTACTATTTTATTTTAAAGGCCCAAACATAACTTCCCTTCTTTATGCTGGAAACAGCCAACTTGTCTTTTATCAGGCTGTGGTCTGAAAAAATCTTTTCTCATTAAAGATTTACATGTGAAGTCTAATGTGGCGCGATTCCTGTCACATTACTAGAAGTTT